TATTATGTTTGTCTGTGTGTTGCCTCTCGTGTCTGACCTGGTACGTGTGCAGTGTAGCTGCGCGCGGGCGATAATCAAGCCGATCTTCCCGCCTGACGGGCCTCTACTTTTACCGCTCCCGCTCAACAGGATTCAATGGTGCAGAAGGGCGCGGGGACCGAACTCTTTAATCCACGGGGGAAGTTGCGAATCGAAGTTGCTATCATCTCCAGTTGACTAGCAACAGCGTGTCATAACTTCACCTTCCCCGGGGAATTCTTTGATTACCCCGCCAGACCCCCGAACTCGATTATCCCCCGGGTATTATTATCGCCCGCGCAGGGTTAGTGACCGCGTCGCGGACGTCGGGGGCATGCGCATCGTTTGTTGGAATCGTTCTGCGGTGGGTGATCGAGATAGAGGATTGGAATTACAGTACGAAATGGACACATCGGCATCATCGTTATGATGGGCACGCAGAGTAAACAGCCCATGCCCCCCCCCCCTACGGTGCGGAGGACTCCATGAGATTCAAGGACACGAATTGCGGACATGAAAAGGATGAGCCCACGAATTGCGCACGTGATTTGCATTTCCGCGTTAATCATCACACGGTGAGAAGTAATGATGTCGCGAGAATGCGTTGTGCGCCCAAGTCGGTCCATGGTAGGGTGGCGGCGATTCGGGTCAAGAACGATTGCAGGACGTTGCCAGCATTGGCCTCTATTTCCTGTCCCGGAACGGTGATCGTCGTGAGCCGAGGAAACTCGCGCATGCAAGCGATCAGGTACACGAGTTTGTTCACAGCGTGATGGCGGATTTCTGGCAGGACGCACCCAAGTATTGCATTTCACGTCAACGGTGGCATAAGGGCTGTTCATGGTCAGTACGGCATCGTGCATGTTGGCGATGTGGTTGTAGGACCGCACGGACGCAGTCTTGAGCACAGGGTTGGTATTTCGATGAAAGAGCTGGCAGAGTCGCAACATGGCGGCTGCGGACGCCTTTTTTCCGCGCGGTCCTTGTCACTACGCCGCCCAGGCCAAACGCGAGTCTAAGATGGAGGGCATCGTGGACCTGGGCGCCCCCCGTTCGGGTTTGAACCAGAATTCGCATCGTGCTTCACGGATCGATCACGCCCTTACGCCGTCGACGATTGCGGCGAAAACACGGCGCTCCACCTCGATGCACCGAGCTGCGCGGCGCCGAAAGGCCATCCCCGACAGCCGGCCTCGCGGCCGCGCCCCGCCCATCCTGGAGATTGATTTCAGACCTGGCTACACCAGTAATGAACAGACGCTGGGGGGGGGGCATTTGGCCGACCTCGGCGAAGCATTTCGGGGTCATATCATGCTGGCACTTGCAGGCAGGCCCAGGAGGGGGCCATCCAAGAAGTTCTTATCTCACGAGGCTCGTGGACTGTTGAGCGAAAGGTTCAGAGAGCAGCATCTCTGTCTTTGGAGTTGGCGCAGCACGACGTGATCGAACTTTTGCAATCGCCCGGCACGATAGCGTCCGCGGCGACCAAGACGGCCATGCTTCCATAGACCAGGCCTTACTCACAGCAAGAGTTGTTGCTCTCAGCGATCCCAACAGGGCCAGGGAGCAGATGACAGAGTCGACGGGGCCTGCGCTGCATCTAGGGCGATCCACGGGCAAGCGCAGGCACGGCGGCAGCTCCGAGAGACGCGCGAGTCACAGCTGCCGGGGGAGTCAGCGGATGCCCCGCACAAAAGGATCGCGCCGCAGGGGTGGGGGATCGGCAGCTAATGACGGGGACGGGGGCAAGACCTCTCCGACGCAGGCGCGGGCGCTTTGCTGAGTGCGCATCCACCATGAAGGAGTCGAATTGGAGGTAGACCTAGCTTTGCCACTGCGCTGAGGGGGCACGTCGGCGCAAGGGATCGAGGAGAACAATCTTCTAGGAGATGCTGCTAAGCAAAGTTCGAACGAGGCGCCGAAGACAGGGGGGACATTGATTTCGGCACCGCGGATCTTGATCGGATTGAATCAGGGTTTCGCGTTGCCAGAAGTCGTCGCGCGGCTGCGCCGCGGAGCGCGCCGAGCGAAGCGCGGTCGCCGCAGCTGCCGCCCTGCCCCGAGGGCGCCGACAGAGTCGCGGGCGCAGAAGCTGCCCCGCCTGAAAGACGCGGGGGGCCCACGGGGAGATAGGCGACCAGCGTGCTCACCGAAGTTAGATGCTGAAATGCGTGTCTCACGTACCTGCTTCCCAAAGACAACAGAAAACAGCATCTCTGAGCTTGAGTGTCACGGGGGAGGGGGTCGCCGCGGTCGACGCGAGTTGAAACAGTTGACGGACTTCCCGGACACTCCGCGCCACGACTATGGGCATCTCCCCGTGAAGTCCAGGACTCGGTCGGTTCGCACCACCGCCGCGTTAACCTGGGGCGCCTAGAGCTACGGGGCTGCGACTTTAAATGCCCAGCGTCACATGCAAGACGCATCCGAGTCGATTCGACGCAGCTTCCTCGACGAAGTTGTCGGTCGCGCCCATGGCCCCGGGGGCGCGTCCAGCCGCGAACTTCGGCGCCGGCGCGCGCGACTCAGAGCGCGCGCCGACGGGGGGCGTCGCGCGCATCAGAACTCGGAGGGCAACTACACGGCGAGCGCAGGCGCCGCCACCGCGCGCCAGAATGCGCGCGCGCCCAGCCCCGATTGGCGCGCGGCGCATCGCGGGCGCCGCAGCCCCCCTCCGAGGCGCGCGCCCTGTCTCCGGCGACAAATGCGGCGCATCTTGTCGCTTGCGCGCGGACGACGCAATGAGACCCACATCTTCGCGAACACGGCCGAGGCCAGGAGGATCATAGCCATGTCGGCCACGCTGCTGAATCGCGCGACAAAGCCGCACGGCGCGCTCCAGGGCAAAGGCGACACCATTCGGCGCGGAGACCCCCGCGCGCGCATCTCACTTTTGAGTCGCGCTTCGCCGAGGAACCGCGCCCGCGAGCACCCGGGCGCGGGGGCGAGCATGCACGAAGGACAGGTGCGGCAGAAACGACGACGACAGCGACGAATTCCACGGCGCCCCCCTTCCTTTCCCGGACACTTCCCAGGAAGGACAAGGGACGCGCGTGCGGAAGGGAACTTCCTCTTACCGTTTTCCCCGCCGAACTTCACGCAAGCGCGCGCGGCGCTGCTGCGCCCGCCACCTGGCGCGCCACTCGCGGCACCTGCCGGCTTTCGGGGCGCCCGCGCGCCGCGCCGGCTACATCGCAGCATCAAATTGCGCGCAAGCCTTTGCGCAAGTGATTCTGAACGCGGGCGATCAAAGCGCGAGCGAGTCGGAGCGCGCGTGGAGTTGGGCGCGATCGAGCACGGGCGCGAGCGACTTTCCACGTGGTCAGCGCGAGCACGAGCGGGTCTGAGCATGAGTGAGTCTGAGTGCGGGCGAGTCTGGGCATGAGCGCGATGAGAACGAATCTGAACACGAGCGAGCCTAGGCGCGAGGTAGCGCGCACATGGGCGAGCGCGACGGCTTGCGAGTCCGAGCGCGAGTTGGCGCGGGCGTGAGTGAGTCCGGGTTCGAGTGAGTTTGAGCGCGAGCCAGTATGCGCGTGCGCGTGAAAATGAGCGAATATGAGCACGGGCGAGTCCGAACGCAACGAGTAAGTCTGGGGAAGGAAGGAGCGTTGACGAGCAAGCCCGAGCACGAATGAGTGCGCCCGCGTCGGGGACAGGAGAAGGAGGCGAGCGCGCGGGCTAGGAGCGCGCAAGTCCTAGAACCAGTTTGGGACAGAAATAGAGAGACCGCTTGAATCGCGGCCGCGCGGGGTGGAAAAATACAACGGCTGCCGTAGCACGGCGACCCTTGAGCCACAAACAGGTAAACGCTCGGGGGGGGGCAGAAGCAGGCAAACCGCTCGACCCCCCCCCCTCCCGCACCCGGGCCCGACCGCGAAACGCGGACTGCCCCCACCCTTGCCCCCCCCCGCTGGAGTTCCCAAATGCTACGCGCGCTTATTTCGCCGCGACCAATGGATAGCAAAAGTAAATCAATATGGTGGGCAGAAACAGACAAATCGATTAAGACGTCCCCACTTTTTCGACCCGAGCCCCCCAGCCCTGGCGGCCCCCATTCGGGGCGCCGAAGTGCAGCGCCTGCATGACCGCGGCGAGTATTGGGCCGCCCACAGAGCTTGCTTGGAGGGCGGAAACAGGGCAGACCCTTCGAAACTGCTCCGATAGCAGAAGACGTCGGGCATGCAAACAGGCAAACCGCGTGAGACGCCACCGCAATGTCGACGCGGATCCTGGAGCGCCCAGGCCAGCGGCGCCCCCCTTTGGAGTGCTGCAACCAGCGCCTCGCCTGAGACACCCTCAGCATCTCCCCCGAAAACAGAGGATGCAATGGGCGCGCAAACAAGCAAACCGCCTGATACACGCGCACACACACAAACACGCACGCACGCACGCACGCACGCACGCACGCACGCACGCACGCACGCACGCACGCACGCACGCACGCACGCACACACACACACACACACACACACACACACACACGCACACACGCACACACACACACACACAACCAATCTAGGCGCGAATCCCGGAGGGCACTAGCCCCCGGCGCCCCCCCTTAGGATCGCTGAATCCAGCGCCTCGCCCGAGGGCGCGCGAACAGGCAAACCCCTTGAGACACCCCCACAATTTGGGCGCGCGAATCTTGGAGTGCCTCGACCCCATCGCGCACTCTCCCCCGGCGCCCAAACGCCGCGCCCGCCGCGTCGCGGCAAGTATTGGAGTACCAATAAGTTGGGCCGGAGCATGAGTGGATCTGACTGCGAGAGAGTCCGATTGCGAAGGGGAGGTGAGGATGGGGAGGTTCTCTCAGAGCCGCGTCAGCAATAACAACTAACCCATCTGAGGATATGGGAGAAAAACCCGTTCTCCCACGCGTCGCCGGACACAGGTCGCATCGCTTACACAAGGGGGCGTTCAAGCTGGTCAAAATCGATTGGCCCCTGTAGATCGCGTCGCCCGCCATCCCATTTCTTTTGGCTTGCTCCGCCGTTTGTCTTTGCCTTGGGCTTCGGCGTCCCGTTTCATTGTGTGCTCTGCCCTCCATCTGGGCCTTGGGCTCTGGAGGTCACTGATTGATGCGCCCTGGCGTTCGGGGGTGGGCCCGCGCGCGTCGCTTTATGGTCGGCGCTGCCGCGTCGGGTTCGGCGGCCGTTGTGATCGCCCCACTGCAAGACGCAAGACTCGACGCGGCCATCTCGAAGCATCCCAGAGCGCGCCTGGAAGGAGTCGCGGCCAGCGCAGCGGCCGTCGGCGACGGCGCCGGCGAGACGGCAGCCACCCGCGCGTCCCCGACCACGCAGCTCCGGCAGAAAGCCGGCTTGGTCTCCGTCGGCGTCGACTCACTCGCGCCAGCAGGAGGAGGAGGAGGAGGAGGAGGAGGAGGAGGTCCAAGGAATGGCGACGGATTGCCCGCCAACCAGGCTGCCACATCCAACGGCCCACGGCGGCGTCTGGGGAATTGGACCTCAAGGCCCCCGCGGCAGCCCAATGCCGGCCGCGCACCTCGGGCCCCCATCAGGCCCAACACGCCCAGGCCCAACTCTGGCATATCAAGATCAAGGACAGGCGTGCGCAGCTCTAGTACATCAAGTTCAACGTTGGCAGGCGTGCTAGAGTCTAGCATATCGTGATCAACTGGCGTGCCCAAGTCACTCTGCCGACATCGATCGCGGGTCTCCGCTGTCCAAGAAATTGTGGAATGCACGTTCGAGATGAGTCATCGACCCCCCTCTATCTTCTTCATTCCCCCGAGCTGCTCCAAGCAAGCGATCAACGCGTTCAGTGTTTCGTCTGCAGTAATTCCGGGCCTTCGTGCATGTCTCGTCGCGCGCGCTCTGCGCTCTCGCGAAGAGGTGCTCGGCGCGCACCTCTGCTGGAGACAAGGCACCGGCCAGTCCTCCGCTCCTCTCCTCGAGCTTCTTCGCGCTGGCGGCCCCCGTCGAATTCCACGCCTCGGCGCAGCCCCCCGCGAGCCCGACGAGCGCGGCGATTGGGATCGCGCCCGAAGCCTCGACCTCTACTCCAGATTTCGTAATAAAAGGGAGGGGGTCTCAACCCTCCCAGACGAGAAGATTTAGACCCCCCCCCCGTGGGAGAACCCTCCAAAACATCGTCCCCAGACCCCCCCAGGCCCTCCAAGATAGCCTGGAAGAGACCCCTCCCCGAAATGAGACCCCCCTCCCTTTATTACGAAATCTGGAGTACTTCTTTCCCTCGTTCGCCGCCGTCCAGTCCTGTGCGTTCTAGACGCGAGCGCGAATCCCCGCGCGACTCTTCGCCGCGTTCTCTCGGGTCCGCATCGCCATGGGCGTGGCCGCCTCCGGCTGGCGCGTCCGTGGGTTCACGTTCGGCAGCGACCTCATGACCGCTGGCATGGCGCGCTTCGTCTCGTCTCTTTCCTCGGGGATCTTCTGACCCGGGTCAATCCAGACCCGGGTCAGCGGGAAACCAAAATTGCAATGTAGGAAAAAAAGCTGCAACGCAGATCTTCGCAAACCCGGGTCAGCCAATATACGCGGCCGCCTCGCGGCCACGAGCGGCTCGCTAACCCGGGTCAGCCAGAGGGGGTCTTCGCAGGATCCTGCAAGATTTGGTGCCCTGGCTGACCCCCGTTTGCATTGACCCCCATCTCAAGGCTCCCGATTTCCATCGTCTCTAGCTGGTCCGGCTCTTCCTTGGGCCCCGTCTTGGCCCATGCCTTCCTCGCCGCGCTTCTTTCCGGGCCTCTGCGTGCATCTGGTGCCTCTCCTCTGCCGTCTTCTGCGCCGCCCGCCGTGGCCGTCTGGCACTGGCGACTTCGGCATCGGGGCCGCCGCAGACATGCCGCGCGAATTCAGTGGCAGAGGAATGGCATTTTAGAAGCTTGTCTCTTCAACAACTCTTGATAACCAAATAGGTCATCGCATTCAGGGCGCACTCTTGCCCTCGCGCCTTCAAAGGGCGGGTCGAACTTTGACGCGTCCACTCTGCATCTTCCGTGCCGGTGCGCGTTGACGAGATGGCGCTCGGCGCTATCCATAAGTCGAAACGCGCGTGGGCGCGCGATGCGCAGACGTAATGGCTAATGGCCAGCTTAGACACCAACGGCGGAATGCCGCGTTAGCCGCGAGTGGACTGACGCCGATGAGCGAGAAGGGTGCGACGCGGACGGACCTGGCGATCACGCGCCAGGCCGTCCTCCGCGAGCAGGGCGCAGAAAGAAGTCAGCTTCGGCAGCTTCCCCTGGTTCCGGGGAGCCAGACGGGGGGGGCATCCCTCAGGGGCCGCTCGGCCCTGCGCTGCCGCGCGTCTGACTTAGAGAGCGCCTCGTGAGCCTCTGGCTCCTTCCTTCAATGAAGGGGCCCTGGGACACACAAATAAATACACACAAATAAAATGATTCCCCATATTTTCTCGGTTTTTGTCTTCCCCACCACTTCCCATATTTTCCCAAATTTTCTCAAGAATGGAGGATTAATTGTGTCTGTGTGTTTCTTTTCCTCCTGATTGAAGCGCTCGCATTATCTCCCTCCGTCCGCTCCAACGCCGACGCCCCCTCCTCCGTGCAGCGCCTCGCCCCGGAAGAATTCTCTGGCCCGCGGGTTGGGCCTGGGCGTGCTGGGCCTGATGGGGGCCCGAGGGGCGCGGCCGGCATTGGGCTGCCGCGGGGGCCTTGAGGTCCAATTCCCCAGACGCCGCCGTGGGCCGTTGGATGTGGCAGCCTGGTTGGCGGGCAATCCGTCGCCATTCCTTGGACCTCCTCCTCCTCCTCCTCCGCCTCCTCCTCCTCCTCCTCCTCCTCCTCCTCCTCCTCCTCCTCCTCCTCCTCCTCCTCCTCCTCCTCCTCTTACGCTAATCAAACCTTGGGGTGACCTGTGGCGTTTTTTCCACCTCATTGTCCTTTCCCTGTCCGTCTTGAGATAAGGCAGTACTCTTTATGAGGCAGTCGTCTCGCGCGGGTTTCGCTTTTCTGTTGTCCGTGGCTTCGTGGTTTCTCCTCCGCCTCCACCACCACGTAAATCCTCCCCCATCCGATTCCGTGCTCCTCTCCCCCGACCTATTCTGTCCGCATCTCGTCCCTCTCTCCCCCCACCCACCTCGCTCTCAGGTGGGCCCATGACAGGACCAGGACCAGTCGTTCCAGACCGTTCCAAAACGCTCTCAGAATGTCCCGCGGCGCTCTGGAATTCCCGGGCCCCCGATACATCCGCCAGAACTGCCGGCTTCAAAGATCCCCCGATTCATCCCAGTCCGAGTTTGTCTTCGCCCCAGGGAGGGCGACGCCACTCTTCAACGACCAGAGCCGAGGGGCCTGACCAAGAAAGGGAAATGCCGAAGTTGCGGAAGCTGCGGCCTGGCTCGAGCCTCAGCTTCGTCGAGGACAGTCAGAGTCGTTTCCTCGATTCCGTCTCTGCTTCGTCTCGTCTCCCCGCGGCGGAGCCGCAGGACGCCGAAGCGGACGAATTGGGGGACGGGCACTGCGGATGCCGCTTGGCGCCACCCTCCGAGCGTCGGACCCCGGCGGCCGGCCTGGGCATGTCAGGAGAGAAGGAGGAAGAGAGGAGGAGGAGTAGGAGGAGGTGGTGAAGGAGGAGGTGGAGGAGCAGGAGGACGAGGAGTTGGAGGAGGGGGAGGAGCAGGAAGAGGACGGAGGAGGATGGACGTGGGTGGAAGAGGGATGATGGAGGAGGAGGATAGAAGGAGCACGAGGAGGAGGAGGAGGATGGAGGGGGACGGAGGATGGAGGATGGAGGAGGAGAAGGGAGGATGGAGGAGGAAAAGGAGGGGGATGAGGTGAAGGAGGGGGGGAAATGAGGGAGGAGTGGGTGAAGGGGGAACCCAACTTTCATCAACGATATTGTAATACCCCCCCCGTCCAAATGCCCTTTTCATACAAGATTCATTTGAAGTGAGGGAAGTGCCACGTTGGAAGACAAACCGTTTCAAACTCTTGAATTGCCGCAGAACGCAATTCTTGACACTTCAACGCAGCGAATCACCGATGGTTGCGTCTTCACGATCTTGAATTGCGCCAGGGCACAATGTATTGCATTTTCACACCACGAATCAATTGTTTTGTTTCGCCTTGACGGTCCGACATCGTGCCAAAACACCGTTAGGATAATGTTAGCCACGAGAACCTTTGAAATTGATTCAACTCCAGAAACGAACGCGCGCGCCGCTCAGGCGAGAGCCGCATATTGAAAAAGAAACGCCCTACATCCGTGAATTTCATGGACATGTTGCAAACGATGCGCGCGCCGCCAAGGCGGGAGCCACACTTCGAAAACCATCCGCCATCTATCCGTGAAAGTGTTGCAAATGTTTAAAGCGATAAGTGCGGCAGTAAAACGAGAGACAAATTGCGAAAATTGGTCGCCCTCCATCCGTGAAATTGTTGCACCTTTTCAAGACGAATGCGCGCAGCGCGCCCTCCATCCGCGAACCTCTTGCAAATGTCAAGCGTCAGGGTCATAAAGGGCGAGGTAGCAGGCGAAACGCCCTGCCCGCCCTTTGGACTGGCCTCGGGGAGCGACAAGGGGGGAGTTATTCATAGGGAAAAGAAGTGTAAGAGGCAGGAGGAGGAGGAGGAGGAGGAGGAGCAGCAGCAGGAGGAGGAGGAGGGGTGGCGTCCCCAAACGCCCCACGTTCGATGGCATCGGCGCACCGAGGAGCAGGAGGAGCAGGAGGAGGAGGACGAGGAGGAGGACGAGGAGGGGACGCGGATAATCCCGAAGGAGGACAGCTAAGCGCTTGTGCGGGAGGTCGCGCCTTGGCGGTGCAAGGCCTCTGGCGACTCGAACCTCGCCCTCCGAGCCCAGCCAGGAGGTTGAAGATTGAGGTTCGAGGATTTGGGTTCTGTACGCTTTTGTACCTCGAGGGGCCTCCCGAGGCCCCCAGGCGGGGGGGGGCAGACATGTGGGTGGCGACTCGAACGATCACGGTCGAGGATCCAGGTTTGGACGCCTTTCTGAACTTCCAGGGGGATTCTGGTCGCAACGGCCAGATTTCCCTCGAAGTCTGATTCGTCGCAGACTTCGCTCCGGTGCGGCCGCGGCGCTGGGTTCGGCACGACGCAGGGGGCGTTGTTTCGGGACTGGCGGGCACCAGGGAAGAGCAACAGAGTTGTGGACGAGGAGGATGCGACGACGACGACGACGACGATAACAAGAACGACGATGATGATGACGAGAAACAGGACGAAGAGGGGGGGGAGACTCATACTCATACCAGAGACATGGTATAGTTGCAATAAACAGTAAAGTAGTGCACTGCGGTTGTGCAAGATATGCGGTGCCAGCTATGTTGTGTAAGTTATTTGGTGGTAGTTTTGAGGTAGAATGGTCTAAGCTTCGCGGTGTAGGCTACGTAGTGTAGCATGCGAGGGACAAGCTGTGTGTTGTGAGCGATGCTTTGAAAGTCGTATGATAAAAGCTAGGTGCAAGCTCCACTGCTCGCGCAAGCATTTCACTCTTCCACCCGGATTTGATCGGGGCCAAACCAACTCGGCCACGGTTGCGGTTGTTGATTGGCCCTTGCTGGCGCATATTTGCAGCCACGTTGGCGGGCGAACGTTCGCGCACGGAGCGACTAGATGGTTTGGCACAATTGATGCGGCCGCGACGGCGTTTACCGATGGGAATCCCCCAGCGCTTCTCAAAGGCCGCGTTGGCGCGCGGGCACCTCAGTGCGGACCAGTGGTACGGGCAGGCGCGACTTCGTGACGACGTCGACAACGGCAGCAACGATGGTGATGATAGCGATGGTGGTGGCGATGATGGCGACGACGTCGGCAAGGCCAATGAAGGCGCCGATGCCCGTGGCCGAGATGACGCTCAATGGTTTTCACTGGTGTATGTGCAGAGGTATATCTGGACATGTTTCGAAAACGAATGGTGTTGGAGGAAGTTCGACACGCGCGCATGGCGGCGCGCGCATGTGGCCCGCATGCGGCTTCGTGCACTGGGCGCATGCTAAGTCAACGCAGGTGACCGAGTAGTGCGATGAAAATGCGGTCGCCGGATGAGATTGCGAAAGTCACATGGTGTTCATATGATGTCCGCAAGTGTGCGCTGACAGAACATCTGCAAGATGCGTGCTTAAAATATGTTAATGTGAGTGCTGCTGGTGCGTTGAAGCGCATACGAAACGAATATGTTGGTTGAGTTTGGCGTATGCGCGCGTGAAGTATATGGCGTTGTTGTTTGGCGACGAAGGCATTTGTGAACATGACAGCATGGGGAAGACAAGCATACAAACAATTTTTTGGACAAGGATGAGGTGGTGCCAAAACTGGTCTGGCTGGGCGGATTTCATTCGAAAGTCGAAGGGGATTCATAACCACACGTTAATTGCAATACCCCAGCGAGGGTGGCAGGGTCGACTTGTAAGCTGACAGGAGGATAATCGTGGTGCAGGCTATGCGGCCGCCCAGCGGACGAGGCGCCCACAGGCGGGCGCCAGGCGAAACCTCGGCTGCCCCACCCAGCGCACGAGGCGCCCACGGGCGGGCACCAGGCAAAGTTTCGGCGAACCCACCCATCGCAAGAAGTGCTCACGGGCGGGAGCCAGGCGAAGCTTCAGCTGTACCATCCAGCGCGCGAGGCGCCCACGGGCGGGCACCATGCAAAGCTTTGGCGAAGCCTCTCCTCGCACGAGGCGCCCACGGGCGGGCACCAAGCGAAGGTTCGGCCGACCCAGCGCACGAGGCGCCCGCGAGGCACCCACGGGCGGACACCAGGCGAAACCTCGGCTGGCCCACCCAGCGCACGGGTGGGCACCGGACGAAAGTTCGGCTGTCCCATCCAATCCCTAAAGGCGCTGAAGTAAGAACCCGTGGGTGCAAGCACCGCTTGGGGAATGCTATCGTCGATTCGCCGTTCCAGGCTAGGCCAGCTTGTTTCCCCACGGCTCGGGGTCAGGCATCCTCATCCCCGCAGCGCCTTGCTGGAACTCGCAGCGTGTTCAGCAGACGTTTTCCTTTTCGTTCACAAGCCGTGTGCCGCAAGGCTTGCGAAGCTCCCAGGCAGGGTTTCCCAGGCTCGTGGAGAGTTCCTGGGCAGCTCCTAGACACCGTGTCCGGGGCCCGCGGAGGGTTCCTGGGCCGCCCCGCAGGCTTGTCGTGGGCCGCCTGGGCACCGCTCCCCGCAAGTTCCCCGGGCATCGCCGCAAGCCTTTCCGCAGACGCACCTTCAGTTTGAGGGCACTTCCGAGCGTGGCCAACAAGCTGCCCGCGCCCGCACGAGTCCAAGCCAGCGGCTGCGCGTGCGCCCGCTCACGCGCAGCCCGCGCGCGGCCCGCGCGCGCCCGCGCGCGTCCGCCCGTGCGCGTCCCGCTGCGCTCTCTGTGCAGCCGAGTGGTTTCTCCGGGGGTGTTTCCCGAGCTGGCGCCCGTGCCCGCGTGTGGGCGCATCCTCCTCCTCCTCCTCCTCCTCCTCCTCCTCCTCCTCCTCCTCCTCCTCCTCCTCCTCCTCCTTCTCCTCCTCCTGCTCCTCCTCCTCCTCCGCCTTGTGTGAGCGCCCCGTGCGTTGGACGGGTTTCCCGAACGATCGCCTCGTTTGCGCCCGTGCCCGACGGTTGGCGCCTCGCGGGCGCCAGCTTGCGCCAAATAAGTCAGCCGAAGGTTCCACCATGTTGGCGCCCGTCCCCGATTGTTAGCGCCTCGTGGGCGCAAGCGTGGGGTGGCTGGGTTAGCCGAAGGTTCCGCCAGGTTGGCGCCCGTGACCGCTCGTGGGCGCCTCGTGGGCGTCTCGTGCGCCTTCAGTATGGACCTACACAACATGGCTTGCACCTCGTGGCTTACACAAATCGCATAGCTTGCACGCATTGCTTACTCCATATAACGTGCATAGCATTGCTGACACAACCTGATGGCTTCCAGAGCATAGCTTACATCAGATAACTCACACCACATAGTCTGCAGGATATGGATTACGCCACATAGCTCACACCGCATAGCTTACTCCGCATAGTGTTCACCTCCACTGTGCACAAAAACACTGCTTGGGTCCACGCTGGCTCGCGTCAAATAGGAAGGAGCCAGAGGAGGAGGAGGAGGAGGTGGAGGACCAGTGCAAACTAAAGACCCATCAACGATATTGCCATAAACCTTCCAAGTTCCCTCTTCGCAGGTCCCTACAGGGATTCGTTTTCTCTGAGGGAAGTGCCCCGCTCGAAGACAGCCGTATGACAATCTGGAACTACACCAGAACACAATTCCTGGGGCTCCAACGCCGCGAATCAGGGTGACTCTTGCATGTTGACGGCCCTGAGTCGTGCCAGAACCTCCCTCGTCCCGCCTCCTCCGTGCTCCTCCCTCCCCCTCCTCCTCCCCCTCCTCCTCCTCCTCCTCCTCCTCCTCCTCCTCCTCCTCCTCATCCTCCCTCCCCCTCCTCCCTGCCCCTCCTCCTCCTCCTCCTCCTCCTCCACTCCTGGGACTTCCGCACCGCGAATCCACGTGACTACTGCGCCTCGACACTCCGACATCGCACCAGGGCACCCTGTCTGGGACGTCAACCATGAGAGCCCTCGAAACGGCTGCAAACTCCTGAAACGAGTGGGCGCGGCGCTGAGGCGAGAGCCACGTCTTGAAAAGGAACCGCCCTCCGTCCAAAAAGCTCCTTCGAACTTGTACGACGAATGTGCGCGGCGCTGAGGCGAGAGCCACAGAATTTGAAAAGGTACCGCCGAAACGCTTTACAAAAGTTCAAGACGAATGCGTGCGGTGTGAAGGCGAGAGTTTTCTATTGAGAACTTCCCGCCCTCGATCAATGACATTGCCGCGATTGTTGTCCGCGGCGTTGTGGCGAGAACCACATTTTGAAAGCGAACCCCTCTCGATCCGCGAAACTGTTGCACAAAGTTTCACCATGAGGATCATCCATGGTGAGGAAGTCTCAGGCGAAACGCCCTGCTCGCCCTTTCGACTAGCCTCGGGGTGCGACGGAGTGGGGCTTTGTATAAGACAACGGAATGGACAGGAAAAGGGAGAAGGGGAGGAAGAGGGAGGAGGGGAGGAAGAGGTGGTGGAGGAGGACGAGGCAGGAGGAGTGTGAGATGACACAGGCTCGGAAGGGGAAGAGGATGGAGGATGGGTGTTTTGGGGAGGCCTCGAACGCCGCGTCGCCTCCTGTGCCGCTTCACCCAATGAGCGCACGCCCCCCGGCGAGGCCGCTGGGCGCGTGGGCTGTTTGGCCGGAGGAATTGAGGATGGGGCACGCGCGAGGGAGCGCGGAGGACAGACGGAGGAGGAGGAGGAGGAGGAGGAGGAGGAGGAGGAGGAGGAGGAAGAGGAGGAGGGGGGGCAGGGAGGAGGGGGAGGGAGGAGGAGGAGGAGGAGGAGGAGGAGGAGGAGGAGGAGGAGGAGGGGGAGGAGGAGGGGGAGGGAGGAGCACGGAGGAGGCGGGACGAGGGAGGGAAGTCGAGGAAGGAGGACGACGGAGTAGACAGAAGGACAAAGGAGAAGGAAGGGAGGGGATGGAGGAATGACGGAGGTCGGAGGTGAAGGGAGGGTTGGGGCAAGAGAGCTGGAGGTGGAGGAAGAAAGCTCTAGTTGGCATCTGGAAGTTGTGGGGCATTCGAGCGGTGGTTAGGGGAGGAGAAGGTAGGATTGGTGATCACCAGGTTGCCTTCGAGGGTGTCCTGGACGGTTTGGCAGTTCTTTGATGTGCTTGAGTGTTGCTCGAAGTCTCTATGTGTCCCCAGAGCTGAGGACGACGAGGAGAGGGGGAGAGATTGGGAGGAGAGGGAGGCGGTGGAGGACGAAGGGGTGGATAATGCGGAGACGGACGACAAGGAACATGAAAAATGATGGGGAGGATGAGGAAGAGGATACAGAGAAAGACAGGCAGAAGGAGAAATGAAGACAAGGAGAGGGAGATGGACATGGAGGAGGAGGATCGAGAGGAGGAAGAGGTGGAGGAGGAGGAGGAGGAGGAGGAGGAAGTGAGAAGGGAGAGAGAACCACGAAGGGGAAGGATGGGGTAAGGTGGAGAAGGAGGGGGAGGAGGAGGAGGTGGTGATGTTGGTGGAGGTGGAGGTTGGGGACGCATGACTACCCTTGGCGGTGTGTTCTCGAACTCGTGTGGCCCCCGTTCGGTGTGTCCTCGAGCTCCCGAATCTGGCTGGGCCTCGGGCGCGGAGCAGGCCCGCACTCGTACCAGGGAAGGCAGGGACTGGATGTCTTCGTGGCGGCACGCTCGGCACAGGGTATGTGGCAGGGGAGACAGGGGAGTCAGCCATAGGCACGGAGGGGCGGTGAAGGGAGGGAAGAGGACGGAGCGGAGGGCACTGGATGGGTGGGGGGGAGGAGCGGATAGGGTGGAGTTGCGGGCATGGTTCTTGTTGCACCTCATCATCCTCCTCATGCTGCTCCTTCTCTCCCGCTCACCTTCACAGGCCTCTTCTCACCTGATTGTCCTCGTCGTCCGTCTTACCTATCCCGCCCATCGCCCTCGTCTGTCTAGGGATAAGGGAAGGCGCAGGGAGGGAGGGGCGAGGTACAGGGCGGCGAGGCGCAGGAGGGAGGAGACAGGGCGAGCAAGAGGAGGGAGGGGGAGAGGGGAGAGAGACTGACGCTGCGAGCCTCCGCCCCCACAGCATTCCTAAGGAACAGAGGTGAGGGGGAGGGGAGGAGCACGACGACTACGACGAAGGCGACAACTTTTAAGTGAGGTGAGAAGCAATGGAGCTGTAAGAGCAGGGGACGAGGAGGAACATCATGTGAAGGGAACAAGGGACAAGGATTGAGGAGGAGGAGGAGGAGGAGGAGGAGGAGGAGGAAGACGAGGACGAGGACGAGGACGAGGGCGAGACGGTGGAGGACAAGACGAAGGGACCCTGATGGAGCAGCAGGGGAAGCAGGAAATGTGAGAGGAGGGGGGAACGGAGGAGAAAGGGGGGAGGAGGAGGAAGAAGAGGAGGAGGAGGAGGGAGGAGGAGAGGAGGAGAGGAGGAGGAGGGGAGGGAGGAAGGGCGAGGAGAAGAAGGGGGAGGATTGGGGTGTTGCGGGGCGGGGGGGAGACCTCGAACGCATCGTCGCCCGCGGCCCCCCCGAGGTGCTCAGCGTGGCGGGCCCGCCGACCTGCGAATCCCAGCAGGGAGGGATCCCCCAGGACGTCGGACCTGGAAGGGGAGGAGGGGAGCGGAGGAAAGCGGGGGGATGGAGGGAGCCGTCGGACTGTCCCCAGGCCGAGGCGCGAGGGAGGGAGGGAGGGGGTGAGGAGCAGGAGGAGAAGAAGGAGAAGGAGGAGGAGGAGGAGGAGGGGAGGAGGAGGAGGAGGAGGAGGAGGAAGGGGGGGGAGGAGGAGGAGGAGGAGGAGGAGGAGGAGGAGGAGGAGGAGGAGGAGGAGGAGGAGGAGGGGGAGGAGGAAGAGGAGGAGGAGGAGGAGGAAGGGGGGGAGGAGGAGGAGGAGGAGGAGGAGGAGGAGGAGGAGGAGGAGGAGGAGGAGGAGGAGGAGGAGGAGGGAGGAAGGAGGAGGAGGAGGAGGAGGAGGAGGAGGAGGAGGGAGGAGGAGGGGAGGAGGAGGGAGGAGGAGGGGGAGGAGAGGGAGAAGGGGGAGGAGGAGGAGGAGGAGGAGGAGGAGGAGGAGGAGGAGGAGGAGAGGGAGGAGGAGGGAGGAGGGAGGAGGGGAGGGGAGGGGGAGGGGAGAAGGAGGAGGAGGAGGAGGAGGGAGGAAGAGAGGAGGGAGGGAGGAGGAGGAGGAGGAGGGAGGAGGAGAGGAGGGGGAGGGGGGGAAGGGAGAAGGGAGGAGGTGCCCGAGGGATGAAAAGGGAGGACAGGAGGAGGGGGAGGGGCGTTAGGTCCGCAGTGCAGTGTCCGAGGAGGCATGGCAAGATGGAGGCGGAGAGGCAGTTGGGGCAGCAAGCCGACGAGGATGTCCTTCAGCCGACATGGCCAACAGAAGCCAAGGCCCAGCAATTGCTGGCACTGTACCTGATCGATGGCCGGCTGGATCTAGACTGTTCAGCATCCAGACGCAGGTTGGGCCCGTCATAACAAGACGGTCCTTGATGCCTTGGACGCCCGCTTGGATCAGCTGGGTGAGGTTACAGAGAACAGAGAACCAAGGCGACGAGATTTGCCAGCCGATGATCGCGAAGGGCGGAGGTCAAGAGGCCATGCAGGACGAGCGGCGCGGACGGCGTCTGCAAGCGCACGACGTCCGGGACTGGGTGCATTTCGAGAAGAAGATGCTGCGGGTGGCTGGTGAGGGCTTCTTGCCAAACACGGGTTCCCCCCCGTTGGTTCGGGAGTGTGGCGGCCCATGGCCCATGTGGGGGGAATCTCCGACGCCATGCTGGAATTGCCAGGCGCATCCCCCATCGGGCGTTCTCGACCGGTCTGGTGCACAGTGGTAAATTGGCCTTCGCCTGCATCTCGAGCACGCGCTTGCTTGTCGAGGTTGGGGGCGGGGGGGGGGGGGGCGACAGTGCGGGTTGGGGCGTGGACGCGGGGCGCGAGGGCTCCGCCACCCTTCTCTCTCTCTCTCTCTCTCTCTCCCGTCCGAGGCCAGTGCAGGCCCGAGGTCAGGAGCCCAGGGCTATGATGTTCCAGCCTACTTTAGCCTTGGTCACCAGAAAGAATTTCGAGCGCACCCCGAAACTCGAGGGTTTTCACGTGTCGTGCCCTGGGAGACACTCTTTCGGCACTCTTTCAAGATTGTTCTGGGTGCTCGAAATGATTTCTGGGATGCGGCCCTCAACTAGGATGGGAGCAACATAAGCCCAGGGTGGGGAGGCCGTGCCACGCGCGAGCTCCGGGGCCGCGGAGCCGCCCTAGGGGGGCACGGAGGAGGAGGAGGAGGAGGAGGAGGAGGAGGAGCAGCAGCAGCAGCAGGAGGAGGAGGAGGAGGAGGAGAGGAGGAGGGGGAGGGGGGAGGGGGAGGGGGAGTGGGAGGGGAGGGGGAGGGGGGGGACCCGCGCCCTCGGGGCTCTGCTCGGCCGGGCCCTCTGCGCCGCACCCCGTGGGAACGGTGCGGCGGTGGCGGCGCGTGGCGCGGCCGCCGCCGCCGCGCGGGGCGGGCGGGGACGCCCCGCCGCGCGGTGGCAGCGCCGGGCGTCGGCGGGCGTCGGCGGGCGTCGTCGTCGTCGTCGTCGTCGTCGTCGTCGTCGTCGTCGTCGTCGTCGTCGTCGTCGTCGTCGTAGTCGTCGTAGTCGTCGTAGTCGTAGTCGTAGTCGTAGTCGTAGTCGTAGTCGTCGAGGTCTGGTCTGGCGGGTGCGGGCGGGCCCCGAGGCGGCGTCGGCTGCCCCCCACGCGGCGACCTCCAGACGGTGCGGTGGCCAGACCGCATGGTAATTCAGTGGGGATCCGGGGCGACTACACGGTTCGGGAGTTGGGTCAGCCATTTGGGGCCCGCCACGGCCCCAAAATTGTACGGTGACGGACGGTGCGATGAGGTCGCTGGGGATGCCGAGGTCACCGCACGGTTGTTCTTCGCACCGTTTTGGGACCCCCAAGTCGAGGGAGGAAAATTTGGCCCGACCCAGCCCTCACAATTGACGTTCTTCAGACAAGTCTAGGCGGTTGCTGCATCTTCCTAACGGCGCTGCGAGCGAGAGCGGTAAGACGGCCCCGAGCGCGGCGGCTTCTCGCGGTCCCGACAGCGAGGAGACGACGGCCATCGCGGCCTTTTCTGGCCGACGATCGGCCGAGGGCGGGAGGACTCGCTTACAGTGGTCGTGGCTTGCACGGCACGAGATCGCGGCTGGGCCGTTTCTGCCCGCACGGAGTGGTGGACGCTATGAGGGCGCAGTTGGGTCCAATCGTTTCTGAGCAGGCGGCGGCGTCGCGTGTTCACGAGATCTTGGACGAATGTTGGACCTTACGTGCGACAATGGGGGGCTAGGCTGACCGCGCTCAGGAACAGGCGCACAGCGAGTCCGACTTAATGGGGCAAAAGGGACCCCATGCCGTCTGAAAGCGGGGTTCGGGCCAGCATCGCTGAAAACAACGCAGAGTCGAGCATGATGGACCTCGCGACCGAGGCTGTTTCGCGCAATGCCGCCTCGGATCACGCCGACCCCGCGCGACCCCAGGCGGACTCTGATTCGCAGCCGAGAAGCCCAAGAAAGCCACGGGAAGATCAAACTGTCCCGGCTCAACATGTCCCCGACCCCCCGCTCCATTCTGGAGCCCCTTGGGCCTTCTGGGCCTCGCGAAGGGCGTCTGGGGCCGCGCAAGTCCCCGTGGAAATCCCAGAGGGGAGCGCCCTGTGCCAGGGACACCCGTGCTGGCGGCGTGCCGAGGGGGATGCGCGAGGCGGCGTGCTCCTTCGGGGGGCGGCGGGGCCTCGAAGGAGGCCCCGGCGACAGCCTCTCAGATGGCCGCGGGGGCCCGCCGCCCCGGGCGGCCCCCCGCCCCCGGCCGACCCCCCGCGGAGCCTGCCAAGGAGGCCCAAAGCCCTTCGCCGCCCCCCCCCCCTGGGGCTCGCCGCCGGCGCCCGAACCAGGCGGGTCGATGCGCACGGCGAGGCCGCCGTCGGCACCCCGAGGAGAGCGCGCCGAGGAGAGCGCGGCGGGCTCGTGGGGAGCCGCGGCCTCGGCGAGGGCCCCGGGGCAGGCGCTCGCTCGTCGCGGCCGAGGGGCTCTTCGGCGGCCTCTGGGGCGCTCTGTGCCGGAGGCGCGCTCGGGGGGGGGGGGGGGGTCGGGTCTGCGGGGCGGGCGCCCTCGGCCCCCTCGTCTTCTCGCTCCGTCTCGGCCCCCCTCTCCTCCTGCCCCGACCGCTCCAGTCTCGGTTCGAGAGCTTTGCTCGCAGCGAGCCGCGAGCCCGGGCGCCATGCGCCCCGCGTCCATTCTTGCCTCCCCCGAGGCCGCGATAGATTGGCGCCACATCTCGTCGGCCCCGCGCGAACACCATGGATCCGGAAGGCCCCGGCACGCGGAGGGACGGGTGGCGCTCGCGCCACCTGGAGTTCGCTGACACCCCGCTTTGAATTCTCGTGCGGCCCATATATATGTATATATAGATACATACATACATACATACATACAGACAGACAGACAGACAGACAGACAGACAGACAGACAGACAGACAGACATACAGACAGACAGAAAGACAGACAGACAGACAGACAGACAGACAGACAGACAGACAGACAGACAGACAGACATACATACATACATATGTGTGTATGGGCCCCAAATATGACGGCAGATTTCCCCGGGGGCGTCTTGAGCACCCCGAAAGGACATTGGAATATGTATATATATATATATATATATATATCGTCTCCAATTCTGCCAGGCGGAGTTGGACCAGGGGCTTCCTGGGACCCCTCTTGGATCCTCTCGGGATTCTTGGGATAAACTTGGGTCATCCAGGGCCGTCTTGGGGGGTTCGAGCGGACACCGACAGGTCACTGGAAGTGATCGTTTCGAATTTCGAAGAGTGGAGCCAGACCTGCGTTGCGGTTCACTGGACACTGGGCCCCTCGTTCGGTCTTTTTGCGGCCAGGAACCCCTCTTGGAACCTTCCCCGGATTCCCACGGGGGCTCCTTTTGCCCTCCGGAACCACCACGGGCATTTCGAGCAGCCCCGACAACTCCGTCAGGCGGCCCAGGAGCCGGGGATCATGTGGACCCCATTTGGAGGCCCCTCGCGGCCCTGAGGGCGCCCTCCTCTCCAGGGCAGCTTTAGGGCCTCAGGAGGCCCGCGACACGGCAGTGGAGGTCTTGTTTCCAACCCCTCCTGTCGCGATTATTTCCCCCCCCCTTTCCCTCGGTCCTCGATCGCCTTCCTGCTCGTCGCAGATTCCCCCCCCCCTTACCCCCACCCCTTCCCCCATTCCACGCGCCCCCCGCTCCGAATTCACGCCCCTCCTCCACGTGAGCCAACGCTGTTGAAACATCGCAGGGATCAATGCACTCGGCCGCCCTGGAACACCTGCCGGCATGCAGCGGCAACGATCGATGTTGTTGTGCTCTCTCGTTTTCGCGAGCTCGGAAAATATTTACCGGGCTCTGTCAGCCCGCGCGATGACGCCGCCGCCGCCTCCAGGCGGGCTGCCGCCGTCGTCGCGCCGCCCCCCAGCCCCTCTGGCCGCCGCCGCCAATTGTCCAGGGCTGTTCGCCCGGGAATTGCAGCCGACCCTCCTGGCGCATTGTCCGGCGGCTCCC